AAGAAATCCTCATGGGCCTTTTAAATGACCAGCGTGTGGCCAGTGCTTGGTAAGAGATTTCTGTTTTTCCACCTGGGAATAATTTTATCCTTGCCTGTTGTTTAAAATGTGTAAGTTATGTTCTGACTGGTAAATAATCATGACACACAGTATGCGGCTGTCCCCTCACTAATTTTGATTTCTTCTGTCACACACATTTATCTTTTGGTTTCTGAAGTATCTGTAAATGGGATTCAGACTTGATAACATTCTGTTTGACGTGTATGTTTTGTAATAAAGCTGAATTTTACTCCGGATTTACTGTTGTTAAGTAGTTGTGATGCTTATGGTAGACAAGATATGTTATCTTTTGCCTGTTTTTATGTATCCTTTATATGTATCCGTTCTTATCACCGTCTCTTCACCAAGAGATACCTGTTGTGATATTCATGTATTTGAACACTAAAGTTGCGTTTTCTTTCTTCTGTGAGAAATCTGTTGGTGACAACTGTTGTTTCTTTTATACCTCACCTTTTTATTAAAAATGTCATTTTAAATTAGTGAATTATTTAACCCATCACGGTATTTTATCATTGCTTTTGTAATTTTTACAATGATAAAAATGTGACTTTTTATCCTTATTGGATGATATTTTTTTATGTATTTTACCTGTATTGTGTTTTGAATTGTACATACTGTTGCAGCTGAGTTATGTCGGAAGATGTGATGCTTGTGTTAAACAATAAAGTGTTTGAAACCATTTTCAACTGTATTTGTGATCCTGCAGTGAGGAGGTTGGACCTGTTGGGCACCTGGTGCTCCTGCTCTTCGTTGAAGTCACGGAGGATCACCTTTTGTAAGGATTTGGGGTTTGGGTGTGCTCAGAAATGTCCTGTTCTACCAAAATAAACTTCCAATGAAATAATTTTTGCACTTTTCATAAAATTATTTTTGATTTCTGTCTGTCTGTCTGTCTGTCTGTCTCTCTCTCTCTCTCTCTCTCACACACACACACACACACACACACACACACACACTATCCAGTAACTGTGCCTTAGGGAAAAAGATGCCATGGACTTATCTGGCCACAGGAGGGCAGCACTCCCTGCTCTGCCATCCTCCGTGTCCTATTAGAAATGAAGTTTTAGCTCCAGGAATTCTCTCTTATATTCCCTGCAGCCTCTTCGGTGGCTGCTTGGAGCTTCCACCAAAGGAAGGAAGGAAGGGAGAGAATAAAAATAAGCCACTCCGGGGCTCCTCTGCCAAATGTTACAGCACACACACTGGCCACAGGGGGGCAGACCTTGCTGCTTTGAGTAAACTCGGTTTGATGGGGGTTTGCTTGTTATGTGTATTCCTTTATCAAAGGTGCACGCTGAGTGCCCCTAGGGAAAAAGCACCGAGTTGTAGGAATCCTAATAAGTCCCTAGAATTCTGGATGAAGCTGAAAATGGATCACAAACCTGGTTTGTTTGTTTTTTTCTGTTTTGAATGACACATGAATTGAAGCATCGTTCTCAGCAAATAAAGCAGTAAAGAAAATGGAATGGAATAGCAATAGCACTAGAATATAGGATAGGATAGGTCCCTGTCTCTCAACCTTGGCAACTTTAAGATGTGTGAACTTCCACTACCAGAATTCCCCAGCCAGCATGAAGTATGTTAGCTGTGCAAGATCCCCCTCCCCTTCTTAATTTTTTTGGGGGGGTCCCTTTCCATTTCTTGCCTGGATGGGGGAACAGTAGTTTTATTTCCATTCCTAGGTCTTTGCAGTCTGGTCATTTAGGTCTGCGGAGACACACAACAGCTTGTGGCAGGGAGCTTAGCCACATAAATCTGGATTTTGCTCTCTCCCAGCAGCAGATTGCACAAACTCAGAGCCGGGCGATAGAAGCGGAGAGGCAGGAGGAAAATCTGCTACTACTGAGCCCATCGCCCACCTCTCTTTCCATCGGAAGCTGGCAGGAGGAAGGCGGATTCCAGAGTCATGGTAAGTCCATCTCTCACAGATGTTTGGGTAGGAGGGCAAGGCCCCAGGGAGAGGAGGAGAAGAAGGGGAGAATTCAGGAATTTTGCAACAGGGTTGCTAAAGACCGATCTCACACACACACACACACACACACACACACACACACACAGAATCAACCGTCAGCCTTTGAGGACCATCCTGCACCCAGAAGTTCAGGAAGTGGGTGGCTTTGCCAGAAGAGTTGAGAGGAAAGAATTTTGAATCAAGAATTAAGAAAAACAATAGAACATAGAATAATAGAGGCCCTTTCCAGCTCTTATTCTGTTTGATTGTGTTTGATTGATTGATTGAAATGGTCTAGGGTCTCCTGTTTGAGCAGGGAGTTGGACTAGAAGACCTCCAAGGTCCCTTCCAGCTCTTATTCTGATTGATCGATCGATTGGTTGAAATGGTCTAAGCCAGGGTCTCCTGCTCGAGCAGGGGGTTGGACTAGAAGACCTCCGAGGTCCCTTCCAACTCTTATTTTGTTATTCCCACATTCTTACTAACTTAGCTACTACAATAAAGCGTGGTGCCACTTTGAGCGGTGAGTCACAAACCTAGGACATTTTTAAAAGCAATAATTCCCCCCCCCCTGACACGTTTTATATCCGTTATCTATACCCTTATTGCCTTATCGTGGTGGTGATATAAACTGTATTCTCATGATGGTTGCATCACCCCAATAACCCTTAATATTGATAAGGCAGGTGTGGCCTTATCTGAAGTGAAAGGCAGAGATTTCTAGATAATCCAGATTGGGATAGGTACGTGGGAACGGTTGTGAGTTATGGGGAGATGCTGTCTAGGGCAGGGGTCCCCAATCCCCGGACCCCTCGCAGGAACCATCTCCTCTTTCCTCCTCTTGCCCCCCACTCACCCATAGCCAATCAAAGTCAGAAAAGAAGTTTTTAGATTAGATCAAGTGTAGGTTCAATCAATCAAAATAGAGCTAGAAGGGACCCTGAAGGCCTTCTAGTCCAATCCCCTGCTCAGGAAGGAGACCCTAGACCATTCAAGACAAATGACTATCTAGTCTCTTCTTAAACATCTCCATCGATGGAGCACCCACAACTTCTGGAGTCAGCCTAGTTAATTATCTTCACTGTCAGGAAGTTTCTCCTTTGTTCCAGGTTGCTTCTCTCCTTGATGAGTTTCCATCCGTTCCTTCTTGTCCTGCCTTCAGGTACTTTGCAGAATAAGTGGACCCCCTCCTCTTCTTTGTGGCAGCCCCTCAAATACTAAAACACTGATAGCATGTCCCCCTGAACTAGCTAGACTGGCGTGCAGCTCCTTTCGTTTCCCAGCCGGTTGACCTTGAAGCAGCATCTCAGGGAGATACAGAGAACTTTCAGTTTCCCCTAAAACCTCCAGTCTCCCTCCCTAGAGTTCAGGGCAGACGGGCGCCAAGCGATGGCGAAGGGCAAGCGCGAGTTGGCAGCTCACCTTCTCTCTTCTGCCCCCATTAGACCGCCATTAGGCTGAGCTTCTTCCCGTTCTCCACCATGGAAGGGAAGGTGGTCCATGTGGCACTCCTGATCTTCTTCCTGCTCTTTGTGGCCATGACTGGCTGTTTCCTGTGGCAGTACAGCCTACCCAAAGCGATGTCCAGTGAGTACAAGATCCGTCATAGCTGGTGGTTTCGTGGCGGACTGAAATGGGACCAAGGGCATTCTCCACTTTGCTTCTCCACGCTTCGCTGCACGTTCCTTGGAAGATGGGACATGTAGTACATTCAACCCTGCAGCCGATCATGAAAAAGTTCTCAGGGTTTCGCCTAAACCTTTAATTTAATTTAATTTACTCGTCAAGGTCTCAAACGAAACCCGAGTGAAAGGGAGGACACAAAGCATTTACTGTCACGCAGAAAAATCACTTAATATGATTCGGGACCCCTGCGGGTTGATTAATTGTGTTTAATGTGGCTTGATTGGTTTTAAACGCTGCAAGGTCTCATTCGCTTTAATTGCTCTCCTATTGATAATATCCCGGTTCGTTTTGGACCGAATCGGGTGTTCTGTTGGCCTCTTTTTAAGATATTGGAGGAAAAACCCTCATTTAAATATGCACATTTAACGGGGTGGCGACAATTGCACGTCAGGCTAAATCAGACGCTAATTAAATACATGAAATCCCAGCCGCATAAAAATGAGGTCAGCCCAGATCTGGCAGCCTAAATAAAAAGATAAACTAAATTGACTTGAGAGATGAATGTTATTCCTCCATATTCATTCATATCCATCCATATTCATTTCATTCCTTCCCCCTCTCTCTTTCACTCTCTTTCCCCCTCTTTCTCTTTCCCTCTCTCCCTCCCTTTCTTTTTCTCTCTCCCTCTCTCTCTCTCGCTCTTTGCCTCTCTTTCTCCCCCTCTCTTTCTCTCTCTTTCTCTCTTTCTCTCTCTCCCCCTTTCTCTCCCTCTCTCTCTCTCTCTCTCTCTCTCTCTCTCTCTCCCTCCCTCCCTCCCTTCCCCCCTCTCTCTTTCTCTTTCTCTCTCTCTCTCTCTCATTTATGAAAGGAAGCTCCCTCTAGCATGCCTGCTGATTAATTTTAATCTCAGTTGGCTTTTTATCTCTGATTACCAGATCCGGCTGCACAAAATCTGGAACAATGCTTTCTGTATTTCTTTAGTGCAGGAGACAACCAAATTATGGAATCCTAGGGCTGGAAGGGACCTTGGAGGTCTTCTAGTCCAACCTCCTGCTCAAGCAGGAGACCCTAGACCATTTCAGACAGATGAAGTTGAGAAACACACTGCTTTAGCCATTTTGTAGACGTGAACCTCCAGACCACTCAGAGTTCAGCCCAACCTGGTTCTGGTGGTCCTGTTTTCATATGGCTCTCCAACCTATCTGGACCTTCTCAGGTGGGATGACTTCACGAAGCCCATCATCCTGCGAATATGGGTTTCCATGAATGCTTCGACTCGCATTCCTGCCCTTAGACCCTGTTCTCTGTCCTGGTTCTTCTGCTAGGCTCAGCCACCACGGACACCAAAGCAGCAGCGGTGGAGATGTGTCCCCGTTATCCAGATCCTGTCCAACTGGACCACCCCATCCCCATCCTGAAGGATGCTCTGGAAAAGGTGTGTTGCAATCAAATGGGTCCAGTTATTTCCTGACAGTTAGAACAATTAACCAGTGGAACTACCTGCATCAACAAGTTGTGAATGCTCCAACACTGGACGTTTTTTAAGAAGAGACTGGACAGCCATTTGTCTGAAATGGTGTAGGGCTTCCTGCCTGAGCAAGGGGTTGGACTAGAAGACCTCCAAGGCCCCTTCCAGACTCTTGAGATTAGATGACAGATGGAGGGAGGGATGAATGAATGGATGGATGGATGGATGCAATGGCTTCTATTCTATTCTATTCTATTCTATTCTATTCTATTCTATTCTATTCTATTCTATTCTATTCTATTCTATTCTATTCTATTCTCTTTGATGTTTTTTTTAATAATAATATTTCCAGTGTGTTATTTTCTGTCCCATTTTATTCCTTTAACTGCTGTAAATCAGATGAAAGAAGGAGTAAAGCCTTTGGAAAACTCATTCAACTCTAGCTTGCTGAATAAGTCATTGTGGGTTGAGTTCCCACAGCACAGTTACATTGGCTGCCTTGACACATCACACTAAACTGCGGCTTGTTCTTTGAATAAGCTATGGATGATTGGGTCCCCCCAACAAGCTATCCAGAAACAGTATCATGGCTTAAAATGAAATGTGAATATTAGCCATTCACTTTAGCCATAAGCGAAATAGAAGTCTGAAAATTGTATTCCTTGCTTTCTGGTCCCCAAATTCTCTCTAGGTGGACAATCTCCTCCAGCACAAAATCCGCAATCCAGGCCTCCCAGCCTTGTCCGCCATTGTCACCTACAACGACACGGTCTTGTGGACCGGTAACTTTGGGAAACGCAACGGCTCCAGTAACCTCTCCGGTCTTCCCAATGAATATTCCATTTACAGGTGATTTGGGGTTTTCCTCAACTGGAAGATGTGGGAGCAGGATCAGGAGCCCGAGTGCGCGTTTTTGCACTGCGCGGATTCTAGTTGCTTCCCAGAAATTCAGACACGCAAGCAAGCCCTAACTCTGGAGGGGGGGACCTCAGATGTGAGAATGCCCGATTCCTTCGGGAATCACGATTTTCTCCCGAGGAAAATCAATATTTTCTACTGATTCTCCTCTGTTCCGTTTTAACTCAAAGGCTGGAGAGACCCTTCTCCGCTGCCCTAAAGCAGAGTTGTTAATTTTGTAAAATATTCATTTTATAACACGGACTTAATTTGGAGAACAAAGGAGAAATGAGGACGGCAAGCAGGGCGACACGCCTGTCCACATTTGCGGCCTCGTGGATTTGTGTGTATGGGGGGCGGGTTTCTTTCCCCAAGCAGAAACAAATTGTGACTCCAATTTTGTCTACTGTGCTCTTTTATGCAATTGTGTGATTTTGTCCCTCTGTGTTAGAATTGGAAGCATCTCCAAGCTGTTCCCAACCATCATGCTGCACAAGCTTTGGGAGGAAGGGAAGATAAATTCTCTGGATGATTCGTTGGAGCGCTATGCCCCCAATTTCTCCATTAAAAACCCCTTGGGGCACCTCAAGGAATCCAAGCAGACGTACTCGGGGGACGGCCCAAGCTCTTTCGAGGACAAACCTCTGCCCCCCAGGCCTTCTTCGGTCACCCTGAGAAGGATGGCCAGCCAACTGTCAGGTAGGAAAAATTGGCCGGAAAAAGAGGTGAAGAGTGCAGAGAACAAGACAATTAGGGGACTGGAGGCTAAAACATACAAAGGACGGTTGCAGGATTTGGGGGCGTCTAGTTCAATGAACAGAAGGACTAGGGGAGACATGATAGCAGCCTTGTAATATTTGAGGGGCTCCTACAAGAATGAGGGGGGTCAACCTCTTCTCCAAAGCACCAGAAGGCAGGAGAAGAAGCGACGGATGGAAACTAATCAAGGAGAGAAGCAACCTGGAATGAAGGAGGAGTTTCCTGACAGTGAGGACAATTAACCAGTGGAACGGCTTGCCACCAGAAGTTGTGGTGAGGTTTTCAAGAAGAGATTGGACAACATTTTGTCTCAAAAGGTCTAGGTTTTCCTGCCTGAGCAGAGGGTTTTATATATATAGCCTAGAACAGGGGTCTTCAAACTTGGCCCTTTGATGACTTGTGGGCTTCAACTCCCAGAATTCCTCAGCCAGGCACACGTGCCTGGCTGAGGAATTCTGGGAGTTGAAGCCCACAAGTCATCAAAGGGCCAAGTTTGAAGACCCCTGGCCTAGAAGATGAGGTCGCAAGGTGACCCCCATGTTCATGTGGTTTCCTGCTTCTTCAGGTCTGCCCAGGCGCCTGCGGTCCACCAGCCTCGTGTGGAAAGGAACCACCCAAGAAGCATTAGCTCTTCTCCGAGATGACGTCTTGGTGGCTGATCCAGGAACTCGGTGAGCAGAAGACCTCAGTTGACCTTGTGCGTCTGGTTGTGCTACTCGGGGCTGAGGGTTTCAAACCGGTGCCCAATTGTCCCTATATTCAGAACATAGAAGCATAGAAGGGAGCTCAGAGGTCTTCTAGTCCAACCCTCTGCTCAAGCAGGAGATCCTTGACCATTTCAATCATGCTGGCTCTCATGCCTAAGGCAGGACTACAACTCACCGTCTCCTGATGATTCACCCAAAGGCACCCAGTTGGCTTCCATGCTTAAGGCAGGACTAGAACTCTCCATCTCCTGGTGATTGGCCCAAAGGCACCCAGTTGGCTTCCATGCTTAAGGCAGGACTAGAACTCTCCATCTCCTGGTGATTGGCCCAAAGGCACCCAGCTGGACTAGAACTCACCACCTTCTGTCGATTGGCCCAAGGTTGCCCAGTTGGCTGTCATGCCTAAGGTGGAACTAGAACTCACTGTCTCCTGGTGGGTGATGGACCCAATAATCTTCTCTGCTTTTCCTCCGCAGGTGCCATTACAGCAATCTGGCCTTCTCGCTATTGGCTCACGTTTTATCTGAGCAAGTTGCCAAGGGCGACTACCAGAACTGGGTCTCCGAGAGCATCCTTGACCCTCTGGGGATGGAGGACACGGGCTTTGACCTCACGCCCAACCTCCGTTCCAGATTGACCGTCGGCGTCTACGGCAGTGGAGAAGTGGCTCCTCTCTACGACCTGGGCTGGTATAGACCTTCCGGGCAGATGTTCTCCACCGCTGCCGACTTGGCCAAGTTAGCCATGCTCTTCTTGGGCACCTATCACCGGCGTCTTCTGGAGCCGGAGACTCTGAAGGTCATGCTGACCCCGCTCTTGAGGTGCTCCAGGGACTACTTCGCCAACAAGACGGGCGCTCCTTGGGAGATCAACGAGCAGATGGGCTACGACCTCCTCCGGAAGGACGGGGACATCGATGGCTATTCGGCCACCTTCTCCCTCGTCCCCAAACTCCGCCTGAGCTTCATCCTCTTGATGGCCGGTCCTCGCCCTCAAGGAGGAGACCTCGTAACCCAGACCTACGAGTACCTGATTCCCTCCCTGGAGTCCGCTTTCCGGGAAGTCAAGAAGAAGCTCCAGTCTCCCCCGAGCCCTGCTCCCTACGTGGGCTACTACACCTTCTCCAACTTGACTTTCTACGAGGTCAAGGCGGGGCCCCGAGGAGAGCTGCTTATGCAGCAGTTCGGACCTCACATCGAGAAGGTCATCCCCGAAAGCTACCGGACCATTCAGCTCCATCACCTGGAAGACCGTACCTTCCAGGTGGTCTTTGAGAAGGAATTCCCGTGCATCCTGAAGGTAGGGCCTGCCTCGATTTCCCTCGAGGCCCAGGACGGTCAGCTTTTTAACTTCTACCCCTTTGACCCCAAGGGGCTGTCTCCTGGGTTTGACGTGCCAGGCTTGAACACCTACAACATCCTACGTCTTCAAAGGAAGCCCATCTTCTCTTCTTAAGATAAAGGAGGCCGAGAAAGGAAGAGAGCCAGCCCCCCCCCCCCAGAATTAGCTGAGTATGTTCTCCTGAATATTTTCAAACATTTGACTGGGATGGTGTGGGGTTCCTGTCTGGGGGGGAGGGGTTGGACTGGAGGACCTCTGAGGTCCCTTTCCAGCCCTACGAGTCTTTGATTCAATTCAAGTTTCCCCTTTCTCACCCTTTTTGGGATCTGGACTTCCTGCATTCTTTCCCACGACAATAGACAACATCTTGGTTGCTCCTTACCGAGACTATGGAAAGAGTTACTCAAATTCTCCAAAGCACCAGAGGGCAGGACGAGAAACAATGGATGGAAACTAATCAAAGAGAGAAGCAACTTGGAATTAAGGAGGAACTTCCTGACCGTGAGGACAATTAACCAGTGGAACAGTTTGCCACCGGAAATCGTGGTTGCTCCATCACTGGAGGTTTTGAAAAAGAGACTGGACAGCCATTTATTTGAAATGGTCTAGGGTCTCCTACCTTGAGCAGGGGGATGGACTAGAAGTTCTCCAAGGTCCCTTCCATCTCTATTCTGATTGATAGATTGAAATGTCCTAGGGTCTCCTGCCTGAGCAGGGGGTTGGACTAGAAGACCTCCAAGGTCCCTTCCAGTTGTATTCTGATTCCCTTCCATGAAAATGATGACACCCAGCTGAAAAAAGTCCTAAGCTGGGTGACTTTGGGCCAGTCACCGGGAGACTGGGAATTCTAGTCCTACCTTAGGCATAAAAGCCAG